CGGAGAGATGGGATTTCCAGTTGCCCCTGCTAGCTAGAAGGGCGGGACGCTGGGACAGAAAGCAGCGTTTTCTCTGCAGCTCCAAGCTGCCAAGGCTGCTGCTATTCACCCCAGTCCACTTCCCAAAGATCCTTGGGGCCACTTTGGCGGAAGAAAGCAAAGGGGATAGCGAAAGAAGGGAACAAGGGCGAAAGAGAGAAAGTCAGATAGGGAAGAAGAAAGGGAAGAAGAGATAAAAGGGGAAGAAAAAGAGGGGGGAGAAGGAAGCAAGGAAGCAAGGAAGGAAGCAAGGAAGGAAGGAAAGAAGTTAGTTTTGCAATAGAAGGCAACTCCCTAGAAAAGCTCTCAAGGGGAAATTGTCTGACAAATAATTTCAAGGAAATGCCATTTGGACAACCAGCAAATGAGACTTTCCTCCCACGTCCTGCTATCCATCTCCATTTCTCTTTTCAGTCTCTCCCCTCCCACCCTGGGTTCCTTCCTCTGGCAGGCAGGGCCTCCTCGGGCAAGCAGGGCCCCTCTGGTACTCCCTTCTGCCCTATTCCAGGGTCAGCTGAGCACTGCCTTCTTGACGATGCTACGTTGGGAAATATTAAAGCCCCAAATCTTGGATTGTTCCAGATTCCTCTGTGCCTCCCCCAGGACCCATCTCCGGACATGACCGCATCAGTAGTCAGTGGAGAAAACGGCAGCTGAGCTGTCCAGGGAGAGAACACAGTACCCAGACTTGGCTCGCATCAGGCCGCACTCCCAAGGCTCCCACCCCAGATTGTCCGACTCACATGTGACACTGGAGGAGGTGACTTCACCTGTCTGGTCCTCCATTTGCTTTTCCCAGGCAAAGTGGGGCAGAAAAGCTTCTCTTATAACACTCCTGATGGAGAAAGGGCAGGTGCAGGTATGAACAACCAAGGAGGGGCATGCAGGTGGCACCATCCTGCTGGCATTGTTATAGGGTAGCCCCGATCCAAAACGGGGTGCCTGACTGTGGGACCTCACCAGCGTGCTTAAAAGGACTTATCAATGCTCCACTGCAGGCACACGTGAAAGGTTCATAAAAGGTTTATTCACAAGGGAAGGGGAAATGAGGAAATGTACAGCTCAGGGAGGAAAAGTGGGAGACAAAGTTTTAAATGAGTCCTACCCGATCCGCTGATCTGGAATCCCAAATGGCGCTCTGAGAGCTGGCCAGGAGCCATGAAGCCAGGAGGCGAGCGACAGAGCGCGAGAGAGCCCAAGGCCCACGTGTTTGGTTTTTATGCCCAACCTGGCTGCTTAACTCCACCTTCAGGTCCCAGCCACCTTCCCTTTGGTGGTGTCGGGATTTGTCTTTCCCAATGTCCTGATGGCTTTGGTCTAAATTGGGGGTGAAGACCACAAAGCCTGTATAAAGTTAGCGCAGGACATCCTTTCCCCCTAACAGCATGACCCTGATTCCTGGCCAGCACCTACCTACCCCAGATCTCCCAGCCAGACACACAGAGGCAAAGGACAGCAGTCTCCGCCCAGTGCAGGCGTGAGTGCGGAGAAAATTCCAGGGCAGCACCACCAGCTACTCTTAGGCTCTTCCAGCCTCTATCCTTCTGTGTCTGGTGGGAAAGTTGCCTGAGGTCAGGCAGAGTCACACCCTCTCCTTTGAAGGTAACCGAGGTGAGACATCTGCAAGTCCCACAAGGAGTCTCAGTTACCCAGGGCTACATGCTAATCCCACTGCAGCCCCTGCAGGCAGAGCCTCCCCACAGCCTACAGCCCACAGTCCCAAACAACTATTCTGCACACTCTTTTCACCCTCGAGTCCCATATGTTGCTCACTTGACCTTATAGTCACTCCTTGGGCAAAGGACTTTTCACTGTTATTGTACAAAAGAGGAAAGACGGGCTCAGAGGATTAAGGGTTTTATCTAAAGTCACATAGCAAATGGGTGGCAAAGCTGGGAGTAGAACTGACAGGACAGTAGGACTCCCAAGTCCACTGTACCCTGCTGTGTCCTTGTTTCAGACCCGTGAGAGTAGACATGGCAAGGATAGAAATAAGAGTATCACTTACTACTATAATTAGGCTATTTTTACTGGTACTACTATTATTAGGCTCTCTTGCTAGTACTGTTATCATTACTATTACCATTGCTGTCCACTGCTATAATGGTCACCCTGTTACTACTTCAGGCATGGTGCTAAACACTTCACAGGAATCGTGCCATCCAATCCTCAACACCTTGGTGAGAGAGACAAATTGACAGCCCCATTGTATAGATGAAGACACTGAGGCTGACAGAGGTTTGTCAAGTCACGGAGCAAATGATGGGCGGAGCTGGTAAGAGGTAGGGTCAGGGTTCACACATGAATATGTAAAGAACTTCAATTGAAGTGTAACCCTGTGAGATCCATAGAAAGGGGAGGTTCCAGGTTCCCTGCCCCACCCAAGGAAGGAGGGGCTGAACAGGAAGGAGACGCTGAAGAAAGACTGGGAAAAGGACTGAGAAACCAGGAGGAAGCCTGGAGGAATACTAGGGAGGAGGACCAGGACAGAGATGAAGAAAGAACACTGGAGGAGGCGCATGGAGCAGAGAGACATAGGAAGAACTTGCTTCTCGGCCCTGGACTTGGACCAGAGACTTGGGGGACATTGGAGGAGACTCTTGAAAGACACGTGGGTGAGAGACCACGGGAGGTTAACAATGGCAGCCTTTATCTTGATTTTGATTTTGCTCCTTACCTTCCAGACTTGCTTAGTCCCTTCTGTCCCTTTCCTGTGTGTCCCCGCCAGAAGGTGCCTTAGACTCGTGGCAGGCTTTTGGGCCTCAGCTACCCTGCTTTGGGCCAACCCTGTTTGGCTGGGCATTACCCACGAGGGGGTAGGTAACTTTGGGTGCTTCATTTGGGAACTATATTCTTTCTCTTCTCTTTATTGCACACCAATTGTACTAAAGTTATTTTCTATTGAAAGTCTTACACACTACGAGTATGTTTGTCTTGGTGCAGCAGTGAATGTCAGAACCCACTTAGAGCAGACAGGTTTGGGATCCTGGGGTACCCCTCATTCTGCCCTATGACAGGAGACTGAAAACCCACCTTCCAGAGCCAGAGCCGGTTTCTAACAAGGCCTCAGCCAGTCCAGGGTAGGGCTGGGTAGATGAAGGAAGGAGCAGGTAAAATTTGACTCCCTACTTAGCAAGTCAAGAGGCTTATCTCCTCACATTACTTCCTCTAACCTCTTATTAGGTCGTAAGAACTGTAGTATCAACATGTTATCTTAAAATAGTTTTTGTACTGGGGCACCACTTGACAAAACATGCCTGGGGGGAAGTAAACCCTCAACCTCCTTCCTCTGGCTGGGTTTGTCTCTTATCTTCCTTCCTCAAGGCTCTGAGCTCCCTCTGTCCTGCCCACACTCCTAAGGGACGACACTAGGAAGTGCTCCATCCTACCCGGGCCCAGGACAGTCCTGCCACATGGAAGCCACTTGGGGCTTATTTGTCTGATGAATAAATTATTCTCTAATGACCTCATTCAACTCACTCAACCACTATTAACTATTAACCCATTTATTATGTGCTAGGTAGGACTGGAAAGTAAATGAACAAAGGAACAATCTGGAGAAGTCTTAATTAGGCCAGTTAGATGCTGATTTAAGTATCAGTATCACCTTAATTACCCCTTGGAATAATGGAGAAAATGAGGGAGTGAGAAATTAATGGGGCCACCAAGGAGGAAGGAGCCAAGGCTGATGGGAACAGAAAAAGGTACCCATAATCTGCCTGGGGAACGAGAGACTTTGCTGGAAGACGGTGCAGTGTGATTTCAACCTAGAGGATGACCAGTTGCGTTAAGAAGACACGGGAAAGGAGCAGTACAGGCAGAGGGAGCGTGATGCGCAAAGCCATGCTGTGTGAAATTATTGATTGGGGCTGGAGCAAAGGACAGGAGACGCCTCTTCCAGACCAGGCCGTATCTCATCTGTTTTGCAGGGGCTGTCTCACGGAGGGATTGAAACACTGAATCATATAAATGGAAAGAGAAGGCTCCTGAAGTCGACATTGTAATGAATGGACGCATTCTATTAGATCTCATTTAATTTATTCTCATGTAGAGAAGAAACGTGATTAATCATCTCAGTAAATGCATTTCCAGATGCATCCAGGGAAATCCAGGGCCCAGGTGCCCATCTCCCCAGGTCATGGCTGTCTGGAGGGCGCGTGGGTGCCAGCCAGCATTATCACCAGCAGGTCAAGAGCTGGAGTGGCTCTTGGCACACACGGAGCCTCCCAGTTCCCTGTCACAGGGCAGGGCCCCACCCCTTCTGGCCAGGTAGCCAGTCCACTTGCCCTTTACCCTGGCCCCAGCACCGGGACCAGAGGCGGGGCGGGCTGCTTGGGGACCTAGGTGCCGCCGGCGCGCACGCGGGGGAGGCCCCGGCTGCAGTGTTTGCCCCAGCTCTCAGCCCATTTCCTGCTCCGATTTGGGAATTTTCAGGCCTGGAGGGAAAGTCCCTCGGGGGGAATAATAGAAAGAGGGAGCGAACACCGGATCCGCCTGAGCGCGCGGAAGGAAAGGCGAGGCTCGGCCCGAAGCCGGCGCGCGCCGAGAGGCGGGAGGCGGCGGATCCCGCGTCACTTTCCTGGAGGCGCTGGAGCGAGCGCGGAGGACGGAGGGCGCCCGGAGAGCCGGGCGGGGGGAGCCCGGCCGGGTGGGGGAGGGGCGCGGCCGCGCGCCCGCTGGAGAGTGTGTGTCTGTGTCAGTGCGCGCGCGCGCGTGAGTGTGCGCTGGCTCCTCTCCAAGGTGATTTCCCATAAACCACATGCCCCACAGCTTAAAAGGCTGTGCCGAGGCGCTGGCCAGTGCAGCCCGGCTCGGGGAAAGTGAAAGTTTGCCCGGGTCCGCTCCGCGCTGCGGGTCTCTCGGCTGCCGGCACAGCGGCGCGACCCTCCGGCCGGGGCGCGGAGTCTGCAGCGGCCGGCGAGCGAGCGAGCGAGGGCGGCCGCCGCGCCCGGCCGGGACCCAGCAGTCCGCATGAACGCGCGGGGCGCCGCCGGGCGCTGCCCTCCCACGGTAAGAGGCGGCCGCCGCGCGGGGCCCCGGGCCAGGCGGAGGGGGGGCGCGGGGGGCTCTGAGGCGCGGCCCCTCGGAACCGCCCGCTCGCCCGCGCGCGCGGCTGCAGAGGATCCCCCGCCGTGGCCCCGGGCTCGGGTTTCCTTCCCATCTTTGCTGCGGGCGCCCCGAAGCCACGCGTGCGCTCGGGCTGAGGTCGGAGCTGCCCTGCCGCGGCTCCTGGGCTGCAGCCCTGCCCCGGGAAAGGGGCGGCTGCTTGCCCCATGGCAAGGAGGGGAACACTGAGCCAAGGCGGCAGGGAGAGAGGGGCCTGCAGCCCCCGGCAGAGGCAGAGGCGAGGTGTCAGTCCACGGCTCCTGTCTGTCTCCGACGGCCAAAGCCAAGGGACGGGCAGAGTGGCCATGTGCAGAGGGTGGCTGCCCCGGTGGGTACCCACCTTATTGGCCACACACATGCTTCCAGGCCCTGCTGGGGAGTGGGTGCTTCTGCATGGGGAAAGTTCAGGGGCATCCAGCTTCTAGAATGCCAGGGCCTGGGCTGGGAACCTGCTGGCAGGAGGGAAGAGTCAGACAAGCCAACACTTGTTCCAGCTCACACGCAGGGCAGGAGTTATTGGGGCCGAAGTGGCTGGGTCAAGTCTGTTTGGGTCGGGGGGGGGGGGGGGGCGGCGGAGGATGGGGAGGGACTGGACCCCGAGTTGCCTGGGACTAGATCTGAATGTCTTTCTTGCAAAATCTGCTTCAGTCATTTGGAGGAGATCCCGGGCTTGGGGGTGGTAGAAGAAGGTGGAAAGAGGGTTTGGTGTTGAGAACTGTGGACAGGGGCTGTGTTTAGGGCTGCATGGGGGACGCCCTGCTCACACCGTGGGCAGTAAGGGCTGCCACTCCTAGAAGATGCCAAGTGGCACTGTTGCTGAAGAGTGGTGGTCCCGCAGCGGGTCTGCATCAGAGGCGCCCTGGTGGAGAAGGGACGAGAAACTGGGGAATGGCAAGAGAAAAATATTTGGAGGGCAAGGGAAGAGCTAGCAAGTGGGTGAGCGGGAGCTGGAAGAGCAGATCCACAGGCAGGAAGAGCCCCCCTGAGAGAGGAGACAGGGCTGAGAGGGGAACTCGGGAAGGGGGAGGTGATTGGCATCGAGGGAAGATAAGGGCTGCAAGTGAAACCATCGGAAAGAGAAGGAAACAGTGGTTTTCAACAGGCGCCCAAGGCCCGCTCATGCCCAAGTCTCTCCAGGGATCTTGTCGACGGGGAAGATGGACTAGGATGGGAGGCAGCTGAGGCTGGACCGCTGGGCGGAGATGTCCCAGCATCTCTTGGGAGCCTGCCACAGAGATTCCTTCTGGCTGCCCCAGAGGCTGGGGCTGGTGGGTGGGAGGGAAGAGGAGGAGGGGAAGTCAGCCCAGCCAGATGCAAGCTGGAGTGTTAACCCTTGGATGCCCATCCAGCGCCTCCGCTGTGGCACAACTGGCATTTCAGGTGCAAGGGAGCCTGTTGGCCACCTGCAGAGTCAGCCTCCCAAGTGGTGGCCACGCTGCCCCCCACACCGAGGTCTGACGCAGCTCTGCCCCCCCCCTCGGTGTCCTCAAACACTGACATCTTGAAGTGCTGAGGCTGGACTGTCCGGGCATCCTCTTCCTCCAGAGACCTTTTCCTCCATACCCTTTACACTCAGAACCTCCTGGCAGCTCGCCTGGGGCACACACATCTTTTGCATGGCTGCTTGCCTCCCATGGGTCTGAACCGGAGGCTCCCGAGGGCCTGGAGTTCCCACCAGGGCTGCCTCCTCAGCGGCCGCACAAATCCAGAAAGACCCCTCCTCACGGTCCCATGACTGTCCTCCCTCGCACACCCTCCCTCCCCAGGTCAGGCCAGGACCCTTGGCAGATCCCTGTGTTGTGGTATTGACCTCCCTGTACCTCCTCCCTCCAGACTGCCCTCGCTCTGCCATCCACTTCTCTCCATTTTTCAAAGCTCACCAAGGCCCCTCTTCGCTGCCACCTCCCTGGTAGCCAGGCCGGAGCTGCCTGTGCACTCTGGCAAGAACTGGCAAACGTTTGGGCTTTTGGTAACATGTAAATCAGTGTGTTGTGAGCTGTTTCACAGCCTCCCTGTGTTTTTCCAGTGTGCTATTTATTTGCCATGTTTGTCTCATCATCTGGATTACTGAAGCAGAGTCCAGAGCCCAGCAAGGTGCCAGCTCTCACTCCACCCTAACAAGCATTTCCCTGAATCTGGGGGTATCAGCTGCCAGGAGGCCACCGTGGGCTGGGGACAGGAAGTACAAGGGTCCCTGTGCCTCTGGCTGGAGAAGGGGAGACACAGGGCCAGGGAGAGGGCTAGGGGACCTCAGTGAGGGAAAGGAATTAGGGAGGGCAGTGACAGGGTATAGGAGCCAGTCCCACCACTCTGGGTGGGGGTGAGAGGGAGCAACTCCTGGGCCAGGTGGTGCTGAAAGAGGAAAAGGATCTCAGAAAATGTCCTTGCTGTGATAAGGTCTGGCTGGCTGGATGCAGGGCCTGAAGGTACCCCGCTAGACAGGTGCCAGCCAGGGATGGCCCAGAGCTAGCACTGCTGCCTCTGATTAATCAATTGGGCTCCTTTTAACACACACGCCCAGGGCCCCAAAAGGTCTCTGACATGGGATAGGTTCCCAGCGAAACTGAGTTTGGGCCCCTGGTTTTTCCAGTGGCAGAGCCAGACCTGTGGAATCAGGTGGGAGGAAGGGTTGGGCCCAAGGGAAATGTGTCTGGCTCCAAGTCTGGAAGCCAGAGCATAAACATGAACTTGAGAGGAGTGGGCAGCTCACAAGGTGCTTGGTTCAGTATTTGGTGTTGCAGGGACAGAAGAATGTGTAGGTACAAGTTTGGCACTCTGTATCATTGGAATTTAGACTCATGTCCTCAGAAGTTTAGTATAGTCTGACTTGGCCTGGGTTAATCTGGAAGGGCTTCTTGGAGGAGATGATATCTGGGTGGTACTAGAGGGAGAGCAGGCTTGTGCTGTGCCTGTTAGGAAATCCTGAGAAAGTTGGATTTGGGGGATGTACATATCCTGGAGTGGGTGACAGAGCTCGTAGCATTGTAGACACGGGGTCCTTGGTGTTCCAGTCTCACTCAGCAGGCCATGGGGATTCCTGGGGAGAGTGAGAAGTGGGAAGAAATGACAGTCTTTCTATCACAGACATGGCTGGGCCCCTGGCTGCTGCTGCTCTGTCTCCTGGTGAGCGGGAGTATTACCATGGAGGTGCCATCGCAGTACTGTAGCGAAATGATTACGGACAGGCACCTGAAGATGCTCCAGGACCTGGTGAGTGTGGCCGTGCCTACCCGACCTTCTCCTGCTGGGAGGGGCCGGGGCCAGGGTCACGGAGGGGTTGCAGGCAGAGAAATGGCGCAGGACAAGGCCTGAGACTCCCTCCTCCCTCCACTGTTGCTCCCCACTTTGACTTTCTCAAGTCCCTGCCTCTGCCCCTTTCCCCAACCCTGGCGCCCTCTTTGGTTCGCCTACAGACAGCAGACAGGGTGGAATTTCTGTTGGGCGCCTGGGTTAATGATTGCCTAGACTGTTAACTGTGGATTCTGAAAGGCCTGAGCTATCTGCTCTCCTACGGTGGGACACTTCCTCTAAGGAACCTGTCTGCTTACGTGTCCAGATGTTGTCTCTACTCCTGGACCCCCAGAGATGATGCCAGCCTGGCACGAGGGCTGCAGCCAGACTCGGAGGGGAGTTTCCTGCCTGATTCCCACCATTCAGCCCTTATTTCCCTGTTCCTGCCTCAGGGATTGGGATGACATACCTGCCAGGGCGTGAGAAAGCCCCTGCCACATTCTAATAGAGTAAAGTCCTCAATTCCAAACGTGGTTCGGCAAGGCAGAGTCAGGTTGCTGTTGTGGCTGCTGTCCTGCTAAGAAAAGAATTTACCATCCATCTGGCCAACCAAGCAGGGTGGGACACCACTGGCTCAGGAGCTGGGACCTGTAGGCTGCGCCTCTTGCCTCTTACCCTTGTCCTTTCCCCGCTGCAGGTGGCTGCTGCCACAGTCCACGGTAGATCAAAAGCCTCTCCGAGGCTTAGAATCACAGAACTGCAGCTCTGGGGAGCTGACAAAAGCTTTACGGGCATCTACCCTCAGCCCTTACAGATCCCAGAGTTTGTCTGGCCTCTGCTTAATTCCTGATGTGACGCCTCCTGTGTCCTGTACACATGTGACACCACATGTGTTCTGTATTCTCTGCTCGGTGGTCCTCACTAGCAAACTGGCATCCATCAGATGTCATGGGGTAGGAGGCAAAGGACTCTTGTTCTTCCGTGGTCCTCTCCTGGGTACGTGGAAGGCAGAGGTCTTCCCTAGCCTTGGTTCTGGCTTTTCAGGTGTGGCTGGGGGCTGGGCAGGTGGGGGTGGTTGGTGGCGTGGATGAGGATCCAACTCTGACTCACCCAGAAACTCTAGTCTCCATTCTTAAGACAAACTCAGTCGAGCTGCAGACCCCACATACCCCACTGCCCTCTCTTACAGATTGACAGTCAGATGGAGACCTCGTGCCAAATTGCCTTTGAGTTTGTAGACCAGGAGCAGTTGGTGAGTTATCGCTATTTAAAAGGCCTGTGTACAAGCTTCCCGGGGTGGATATTTGTGGGAGCACAAAGTCAGGAGAAATTCTAGAGCCGGGCGGGGTGCGGGTATGAGGATCCCTGAAAGCACAGGTCTGGTGTGCCAGGGTCCAGGGCTGGGCAGCGTGCAGGGTCAGATCCCTTGCAGCAACCTTTCACATGCTTACTGTGTGTCGGGCACTTTTCTGATTTAATCCTGACAGAACACCACTGCCCGGTGTACTAATCTTGCTTTTTGTTCTCAGAGAGATTAGGGAGCAGAGCCAGTAAGTGGTAGAGACCTGATCTGAATCCAGGCAGACTGGCTCTAGGGCCTGTGGCAAACCAATACTTCTTTTTTTTTTTTTTAATATTTATTTATTTATTTATTTTTTAATAGAGGCATTTTTTTTTTATTTATTTGTTTGTTTGTTTTGTTTTGTTTATACAAGCACTGGGTACAGTCAGAAGCGTGGGAGGGTGAGAGAACTCACCAGAGCCAGAGCGGGGAGCAGAGCAGGCAGAAGGACCGAAGTACACTGCTGAGGGGAGCAGCGGGCGGCAGGAGAGTTCCGCGTGCCATGCGGGACCCTCCTCCGGTGGCCGGGGAGCAGCCAGGGATCGAACCGGCACTGCAGAGGCTGCGGGCAGCTTCGCAACCCAGCGCTCAACCGCTGCGCCACTGGGGAGGCCCAAACCAATACTTCTTTTGGGTCATGTGCTTTGCTTAAGGATGTCACCTCCATCTAGCAGACATACCATCAGCCAGGATGTCAGTCCAACCCTGTGCCTCTCCCTCCTACCTCACACCCACCCAGCCATCAAGCTGCAGGTTCTGCCTCCCAGCAGCCCTGGGTTCTGCCCTACCCTCACCCTATCCATCTGTTGCTTGGGCACTTTCCAGAACTTCCTAACTAGCCTCCTAACTATCTTCCAGTGTATACTTCATCTTGCCACTGGGCTGGGGTGGGGTGGGGTGTCTCTGAATTAATCCCTTCCCTTCACTTCCCTCTGCAGACCTGTCTGGGGGACCCCTCACTCCAGAGAAAGCCCAGATTGCTTAGCCCAGGTATAAAAGCTCCAGTCCCCTTCACATAGTCCTGCTTGCTCTCCCTCATTCCCTGCTCCTTCCTGCCTCCCAGCCTTTGCACACGCTCTTCCCAACATCTGTACCGTGTTCACAGTGGCCCACGCCAGGAATCACTTTGCTCTGTTCATCTTGTGCTGAATACAAAAGCCCCATCATATCCAGAAGCTGCTCCTAGCTCTGAACTTCGACATCCCAACCCACACACACCCCTGATAGAGCTGGAGATACCTCATAGTCCACAGAGCAACCTCAGAATTTCATTTACTCACCTACTCAGGCGTCAACAAGCATTTAATGTTGAAACAGTGCTGGAACAGAGAGCGAAAACTATCTCTGCTGGGGCATCCACCATCTCTTTAGAGAGACAAAACGCTGAGGTTATTCTTTGAATCAGGAGGTGATCCTCAGTACCCCTGTATCCTGAAGGACTAGAAGGAGCAGTGAAGGATTTTTTGTGAAAGCATGCCAAAAGAGAAACAGAAGGCTCGCCAGAACCAAGCCTACCTGTGCACCCCATTCTGCAAAATCCTCATCTTCCAGAAATCCCAAGATCTCTCTAGTCAGAACCCACCTTCCCTTGCCTCCAGGGCCAGACGCTAAAGAGAGAGAATGAAAGAACAGCCAAGGGCAGCATCCTTTTACTGGAGTGGCCAGGCCCCTTCCCCCAGGGGTAGGGCTAGGACAAGCTACAGCCCTCATCTGCCTATGCTGGGTGACATCTGGCACAGAGCCAGGGTTCCCAGGCCACATTGACCAGACCATAAACTCCAGGTTCTCATTTTCCAGAAAGATCCCGTGTGCTACCTTAAGAAGGCATTTTTCCTGGTGGAAGATATAATAGAGGACACCTTGAGGTTCAAACATAAAACCCCCAATGCCGACACCATCGAGCAGCTCCGGGAGCTCTCTGTGAGCCTGAACGAGAAGCACTGTTTCACCAAGGACTATGACGAGCATGACAAGGTAGTGGGGGCCTGGAGCGAGGAGCTTTAAGTAGGTGGGCGGGTGGGAGGACTGTGGTGGTGGTGTCCCTGCCCGAGAGCCGAGCACATCAACTTGCCTGGCGTCTTGTCATTTTTCACGGTCTCACTCATGTATTCATTCCACAAACCTTTGCTAAGGACTCATTATGCAGGAGGCCCACAAGCTACACAGGTCCTGCCCTCACAGAGCTCGTAGTCAGTGACGCTGGCGGTCACAAAAACAGCACAAGGAAATGCAACTACGAACTAGAAGGACTATTCATTCAACAAACAGTCATGGGTGTCCATTGATTGTGTACCGGGTTTTCTTCTAGACTTTGGGGAACAGCTGTGATGAAAACACACAAAAATCCCTACATTAGTGGAACTGGGGTGGTTAGAGAGAAAATATCTAACATGTGGGATGTAGGGCGGTAATAACTGCATTGCAGGAGGGGAAACCAGGAAGGGGAAGATCAGAAGTTGGTGAGGGAGTGAGTTATCAACGAGAGCCACATCTGAGAGACAGGGACTCTAATTTAAAGGGGTCTTGAGAAGAAGACAGTGTTCTGAGAAACACTGAGAATGAAACCATGAGAAAAGAGTCATTTGAGCTGCAAAGATGACTGAAAGTTAGGGAGCAGTAGGGTTGGTGAGGGCATTCAGAACAGGCAACACTGTGCGCGGCCATAAGGTGACGGGAACAGGGACACTCGGTCCCAAGGTGGTCACGTGGCCAAAGCATGGACGTGAGGGAGACAGAGGAGAGGAGGCTGGAGCCAGGCCATCTTGGGGTCTGAAAGATGTGGGGTTTTGTCTTAAGTGTGTGGAGCCATGGTGAGCAGAGCTGTTACCTAGTGGAATTTTTTTTTTTTTAAACCCTGGCTTTTTTTTTTTTTTTAAAGATTTATTTATTTATTTATACAAGCACTGGGTACAGTCAGAAGCGCGGGAGGGTGAGAGAACCCACCAGAGCCAGAGCGGGGAGCAGAGCAGGCAGAAGGACCGAAGTACACTGCTGAGGGGAGCAGCGGGCGGCAGGAGAGGTCTGCGCGCCATGTGGGACCCTCCTCCGGTGGCTGGGGAGCAGCCGGGGATCGAACCGGCGCTGCAGAGGCTGCAGGCAGCTTCGCAACCCAGCGCTCAACCGCTGTGCCACCGGGGAGGCCCCCTAGTGGAATCTTTTAAGGCCCTCTGGTGCTGTGTGGAGAAGGGATGGTGAGAAGCTTGGGAGGGATACAGGTGCCAAGGCCAGTGCAGAGATAAGAGCGGCAGGGAAGGTGGAGGCAAGTAGATATGGGTCTGAAGAACCAGAGGACTTGGGCGTGCAGTGGCCGTGAAGAGCTTAGAGGAAGGGGGAGTCCAGAATGGTTTATTCTGGAGCACCTAGAATTTCCAGGGATGCTGAAAGGAGGAAGATGAGTGTGCAGAGCAGGTTTTGGGAAGAGCAAGAGTCCCACTGGAGTGCGTGAAACTTAGGCTGTTTGTGAACTGGCCCAGTGGAGAGGATTTGCAGGCAGCTGGACCCCTGCTCTCCAGTCCACTGGTGATGTCAGATGTGGAGGTATCAGCAAGGTCGCCTGTGACTCTGGGGGACTGTGTGGCATTGTCCCCGTGTAGCTTGTGGGCCTCCTGCATTAAGTAGCAAAGAAGCAGGCCCAGGAGCACCAGCATTGGAAGTCAGGTAGAGGAAGGAGACCTGGCAGGAACACCAAAAAGTAGCGCCTCAGGAGTGAGTCTAGCATCACCAGGCCCATAAAAAGGAGGATTTCAGGATGGAGAGAGCAGTCAACTTTGTCGGAGCGGCTTGGGGAAGTCAAGCAGGATAAGTGTCCATTGCATTTGGCAACATGGAGGTGGCTGTTTGGTGCCTGTTCAGGGTGAACAGGCAGAGGGGCGGTGGAGACAGTGCTGTGGGGGAACTTGACTCCTAAAGGGGGTGGAGAGAGAGCAGTAACGGGGGAGTCCTGGGACTGGGGAGAAAACCTCTTCTATTAAGGGTATTAAATCTGTGGTTTCCCAATATGATTTTACTAAGACTCACTTGGGGGGTGGGGAGCTTGTTTAAAATGTAGACTCCCAGGACGCCCCTAGAGAGTCTGATTCATTGAGTCTTGGGGTGGGCCTAAGAATATGCATTTAAGGCCCCCACCCCTCTCCTCCTCCACCCTCTCAACCCCGCCCTGACCCCAGATACTGCAGTAGAGCAGTGTGAATGTGGAGGGGTGGGCTCCGGAGAGAGGGAGTCTTACGTAGACAGTGAAGAGCTCCCACAGGCGGGTGGCCATTGGCATGGAGGCCATTTATGAGCAGCTAACCTGCAGCAAGAATCTCCTGAGAGAGACTGATGGCATCAGGACTTCTGGCTGAGAGAGAGCCAGCTTCCCTGTTTCTTACAACAGCCTGGGGGGTGGGGAGGCTGGCAGAGGTTATTGTTTTGACTTTCCAGATGAGGAAATGAGCCCAAACTAGATATTCACTTGGCCAGCGCCACCTCACCGGTGACTGATGGAGCTGAGCCCCAGCCAGGTCTTTACTTGACATTCATCCCTTTCTTTAGCTGGTAAACATTGATGAAGGGCCTACTAAGCACAGGAAGTGGGCACAGTGTGATGCCTGGGAGGCTAGCAAAGCCCCTTGTAGCTCCAGTAGAGGGGAAACTCGGTACTTGGCAGTTAGGCAAGCAGGTCAGCGCTGAAGGCATGGGAATGCATGGCAGTGTCTGCTGTGAGAGGCGAGGTAGACGGAGCGCTGATCCCTGGGGGACGCCGGCATTTGGAAGTCAGGTGGAGGAGGGGAGACAGAAGGAGCAGCTGGAGGGGTAGGAGGAAAACCAGAAGTGTGGGAAACTTCTCAGGGTCCCACAAGCAGAAGAGAATAGAGCAGTTCAACAGTCAGGGCTGGGCAGCCTCGGCCTCCTTTCTAGACATCCCAGTGCCAGAGAAGCTCTGCGTCCATGGTCTGCTCCAGTTCACTCCACACCACAGCACGTGGCAGGACGAACCTTCTAAAGCTCAAGTCTTACTGTGCCACCATCCACTTCCCAAGAAACCCTCAGATGTTCTCTCTGCTTTATGGACAGAGTTTACAGTTCTGGACCAGCAAGTTCACAACCTGGCCTTTGCCGCTCTCACTCAGTTGTGGGTCTCACCACTCCCGTCCTAGATGGCAGTGCTACAGCCTCTCTAGCCTTCTTTTAGTCTTTCACTGTTTCAGGTTCTTTCCTGCCTCAGGACCTTTGCACATCCTGTCCCCTCTGCCTGGACAACTCCCTCCAACCCACTGCCTTTCCTGGTTAACGCTTGCTTATCTCTTAGGTGATTCTTTGAGGAAATTCTGTTGAACATACTCCCGGATCATTCTGTATTTCTTCATGGGGCTCACTGCACTTGGAATAGTCTTTATTGCCAATGCCCATCTGGACTCCATGTTGGCTAGCAAGCACCTATCTCTTGTTCATTTTATGATTCCCAAGTACTTACTATATGCCTAGTATATAAATATATGCTAAATAGATCCTTGAATAAATGACATATCTCACAATCTCAGGGCTGATTCTGCTGCAATCAGGGGAGAGTAGAGGGAAAAAACAAAAGGGAAAAAGAAGAAATATGAGAAAGGCTAAGGGAGTTTGACAAACAAGCCAGAGACTTGGGGGTCAAGGCCCGTGCTCACCAGGGGGTGCTGCTCTCCTTCCAGGCCTGTATTCGAACTTTCTCTGAGACGCCCCTCCAGTTGCTGGAGAAGATCAAGAGTATCTTTAACGAAACAAGGAATTTCCTTAAAAAGGACTGGAAGATTTTCAGCAAGAACTGCAATGACAGCTTTGCTAAATGCGCTAGCCAAGGTAAGCACCCAAATAGCCAGCAAGTGTGTAGGTGGGTGTGGGGGAAGGATGTGTGGAACAGAGCCAGAACCGAGAGGTGAGAAGTGGAGCTGGAGGGACCCCCCCCCCCCGCCCCGGGAGGCAGCCTGGCTGCTGTCATGCTCCTGTGTGTGTAGACGTGCTTCCGTGTACACGTGTGGCTTCATGTACCTCTGGTCGTCCTAGGCAGGTGTCTTCCCTGACGTGTGTGCATGCACATCTACTATGTCTGCATGTCCAGGCCTCAGAAGGATCACACTGGAGGCTGTGAGATTAGGGAGTGGAGAGGAGGGACCCTCTTGGTGAGCCCCATAGGCATGGGGTCTTTCCCCACCGGCTCTGCAGGCTGGATGACCATATAGGGGGTTCCATGGAAGGAGCAGAGGCTCCATCGGGGAGTCGGGGCCCTTGCTCCAGGAGCTCTGCTGCAAACTACCAGGATACCCTGGCACTCCAGAAGTTCCCAGGATGTCTTGCTGTCCCCTCAAGGGACAAGGCTGGATTTGAAGTCTGAGCGTCACTCAAAAACTCTCCCAGTGCTGATCCAACTGCACACATGTGTACCCTGCGTCCTCGTCTCTGCATCCTGTGCCACGTGTGCCTCCTACATTCAACCTTGCTGCCTGAGGCAGTTGCTGAGGTCCTGAGACCCGCCAACGGCCATGCCCAGTGTCTTTGCTTCAATCCCAAGGCCTCAAGCCTTGGCCACATTCCAGCCCCAGCCTGTTCCCACCTGTGGCTGTGCTGTGTGATTCCCTGGTTGTGCATGAAACCATTGCACTGCTTTCCAACCGATGCAGTGTCTTGGGGCTAAAGGGTGTCTTGTGTTGGTCCTGGAAGCCACTGTTGAACTGCCTGGCCTGGCTGCTGCTCACCTCTGGCTTGGATGGCTGGAACCGGGGTGGGCTGTTCTCTGGTCTTCCCTGACCCCAGTCTGTGCTTTCATTCCCGCTCTTTGCTTTCTGCCCTGAGACCCTGTGTTTGCACCTTCCTTGCCTACAGCCTTTGTCATGAGCATTGGTACCAGTCCTGTCCTCTCCTCAGCCCCAGGGCTGAGCTAGGGGGTAAAGGGATGCCCAGACCCATATACCCTTCTCCACCCCACCTCTGAGAAAGCTGTGCTGGAGGCTGGTGACTCTATATTCTCCCCGTCTTTCTCTCTCCCTCTCTCTGTGGTTCTTTCAGATGTGGTGACCAAGCCTGATTGCAACTGCCTGTACCCCAAAGCCATCCCTAGCAGTGACCTGGCCTCTGTCTCCCCTCAGCAGCCCCTCACCCGCTCAAAAGTCCCTATGGCCGGCCTGACCTGGTCTGACTCTGAGGGGACAGAGGGCAGCTCCCTCTTGCCTGGTGAGCAACCCCAGGCAGTGCCAAGCAGCAACCACCCAGGCAGTGCCAAGCAGCGACCACCCAGGAGCACCTGCCAGAGCTTTGAGACACTGGAGACCCCAGGCGTTGAGGGCAGCCCCACCGAAGACTCAGCTCAGCCACACCCCTCTGCTGGGGCCCGCCTTCCAGGGGTGGACGATGTTCTTGACTCTGTATTGGGCACTGACTGGGCCCTAGAAGAGGCCTCTGGAGAGGCTAGTGAGGAGCTTGTACCCCAAGGGGCAGAGCTTTCCTCCTCCAGCCTGGGAGGAAGCAGCATCCAGGCAGAGATGGCCAGCCCCAGCGACCTCCTCCCAGCATCCTCTCCACTCCCCCAACTGGCAAAGGGCCAACAGCCAGCAGATGAGACTGTCACCTCCCTGCCCAAGATGGGCCCCGGGACACCCACTGGCCAGGCCCAGAATCACACACCTGAGAAGACAGACCGTTCGTCTGCCCTGCCCAGAGACCACCAGGATTCCGCCAGGACCCCATCTCTGCGCCCGCAAGGCCTCAGCAGCCCCTCCACCCTTTCTGCTCAGCCACAGCTTCCCAGAAGTCACTCCTGGGGCAATATGCTGCCCATTGGGGAGCTGGAGGGCAAGAGGAGCACCAGGGAACGGAGGAGCCCTGCAGAGCTGGAAGGAGGACAAGCCAGTGACAGGGCAGCCAGGCCCCCGGCCCGTTTTAACCCCGTTCCTTTGACTGATGCAGGCCATGACAGGCAGCGCGTGGAAGCCTCCGACCTCCAGCCGTCCGGGTTTGTCTTCCCCCTGTCCAGCATCATCCTGGTCCTGCTGGCCGTCGGCGGCCTCCTGCTCTATAGGCGGAAGCGGCGGGTAAGAAGGGCCGACACGGGAGCCGAGGCTGCTGGTCAGGCAGTGGCTGGGTGGAGGAGCGGGTTGAAGGCCTGCTCGGATTTTGACTGGGTTTTTCAGAGAGAAAGGAGGCGGACTGAGCACAGAGGACGGGAGGTTCAAACAGGGATGGGGCTTGCTTCAAGAAAGGGAAGAACTGAGGCTCTCGGGTTGTGAAAGGGACTGGAGCCGAAGGGAATGGCAAAGAATATTCCTGGGCTGATAGCAGGATGAGAACCCCAGGTGGGTGAGGAGATGGGGCAGGAAAGTGACACTGTGAGTGTCAGGGCCGGGCATTCACTGCAGGCTCTGCAGAGCCCGGGGCACGGACACCCCCCAGCCCCAATTTGGGGGGCAGAAAGAGCCTGCCTGGGAGAGGAGACAGCCTCAGCAAGCTCTCCGGCCCTCTGGCCAGTCCCCACTTCTGGGGGAGACTTCTATAATTCTCTCACTGGCTTCATGAGCGCACCCCCCCACCCCCCCCTCCCGCTCCCAGCTCATCAGTGAGCCTGCTCTTTCCTGTCTCTAGAGCCATCGAGAGCCTCACACGGTGGATTCCCCCATGGAGCAACCGGAGGGCAGGTGAGAGTGTGGCGGGGGTGCTGGTGTCCTGTCTTGATGTCTACTTCCCCTCCACAGTTTCCATTAGCTCTGAAGAAATGGAGCTCAGAATAGTATGGGGCTTGTTCAAAGAGGAAACGCATCCCCTTCCTAGATATCCGGGAAGTTTCCTGATTTCTTCTGGGTCTTCTAAATCAGAGAGGACTACAGCATAAGCGGAAGGTGGGATAAAGTTGGAGGGCCCGCTCACTCCCTGCCCCTGCTGAAGTCTTATGCCAGCGCTGTGCTCTCCCCCCAGCCCCCTGACCCCGGACGAGGACAGACAGATGGAACTGCCGGTGTAGGAGGAATTCTAAGGTAAGACTCTGATATAATCTCTCTCCACCCTGAAAATTAGCCACACCCTTTTCCAGTAACCCTAACCTATTGGTGATGCCAACTCCCCTGAGGCCCTCACACCTGACTGCCTCCCCTTTCTCCTACTCCCTTTTCCATCTGCCCCCAGATCCTGCCAACACTCTCCTTCCTGGGTCCTTGGGTCTCTCCTCCGTCCTCTATTCCTTCCACCCCTTCTGAGACCTGGCACTACTGCCTCTGCATTGGGTCATTATTTCTGCCCTGGGGCTTCTAGTCTTGCTGCCCCCTTCTATCCCAGAGCAGCTGAAATCTTCTCAGCTTGTCTTGCAAGCCCTTCCAGCCACTGCCTTCAACACTCACCTCTTGCCAACTTGCCCTCTGTTTGCAGCCCACTTCAGACCTTTTCCCCAGCCAAGATCCCTTCTACCTCCCTGTAGATTCCCCTCCCTGTAGATTCATGTAGATCCCCCTCCCTATAGATTCATGGAACCTTAGTCTCAGAAGGGCTCTTAGCGGGCCTTTGGCCTAGCATCCCACCCCAAAGGGGGATCCCCTTCCACATCCCTGACAGGGAGTCAGCTGACTTCTGGTCATGTTCTCCCAGTGCCAGGCGAGGAGTCCCCACCACTGGGATCCCACGAGCTCAGAGAGGAAGTCCTTCCTCTTTCAGGCCATGACTGACTTCCCTGCCCCTCCTATGCTGATCCCTCTGGTTCTCCTGAGAGCCCTCAGATTTTTAAAGTCAGTTAGCCATGTCCCCTTTAAGAATTCTCGAAGCTAAATGTGGCCAAGTCCCTCAAACATTCCTTATATGATATGGTTTTCAGACCCCTCACCATCCTGGTCGCACTCCTTTGGACACACTCGTTTGTCAATGTCCCTCTGAAAATGTGGCACCCAGGCCTGGACACAGTGCTCCAGATGTTGTCTGACCAGCTCAGAGTACAGTGGGACTGTCACCTTCCTTATCTGGACAGTATTCTTCTACTCATACAGATTAAGATTGCATTAGTTGTTTTTTTTTTCTTTTTAACAACTGCATCATATTATTGTTATATGTTGAGTTTGTAGTCTGTTAAAAGTTCCCTAGTTCCATTTCTCAGAAACCTCTGTCAAGCCAGACCTTGTCTATTCTGTACTGGAAACTTCATTTTTTTAAACTGAAGTGCAGGAGTTTCTATTCACCCTGTTAAAAATGCCTTGGTGGTTTCTGTCCATCACCTGAGCCCACTGAAATGGTTTTGAATCTCATCCTGTCTCCGTAGCCCTCCCGAGTGTGTCTCCTGCACACGAGGCGTGTCTTCCGTTGTCTTGGCCCACATTATTGATAAAGATGTGTCCCTATTGCTCCTCTCCCCGGCTCCCCAATTCCACCCTGCCCTCCTCGCCGCCCCCCTTCAGCCCGTGGAAGCCTTCCCGACTGTCCACTGTGCCCTGGTTGCTCCTTTATCATGCCCTCCTCTCTTTTGTATTTGATTAATACTATATCGATTTGCACTTACTTGGATTTTGTGTTTATACATTTAAAAATCTGGTTTTGTGTGTAAATGTACATTCTGCACCCCTAAAAAGGCTGTAAGCCCCTTGAGGGCAGGGACTATGTCTTCCACGTTTTTGCATTTCTTTTTCTGTCCTGGGTTCTAACACAGAGAGGGCTTCCCCAGGCTTGCCAAGCACTCAATAAAAGTTGACTGACTGGCTTCAGGGCTGACTGGCCAGCTGGCCCCAACTGACCAGCCTTCTGGCTGACCAGTTGACCAGCTAACTAGCTATGACTGACTGGCTGACCAGCTGGCTGGGCGACTGACTGACCACCGGCCACCCGGTAACTGCCTTACTGGCTAGTTGCTGATTGGCGAGTTGGTTGGCCTGCTGACTAGCTGGCTCGTTGCCTGATTGATATGCTCAGTGGCTGTCTGACTAGCTGGGGTGACCCGTGCAGGTTTCCAGTCACACCTCTTTTGTGTCAGTAAGAGGGAAGATGGGACCAAAGTCTCTGGCTCCCGGCCTATTCCCATGCTCCAGATGGAGGGGCAGCCATAGCTGGTCACAAGCCACACTTGAACGCAAGTGAGCACCCTGGGGCCTTCTCAGGTGTAGTGGCAGATCTGGGCCATTCCTCAGGAGTCAGTGCACAGAGCCAGGGGAGCCTGTTTAGGAGGAGTAACACATTTGAGGTCCACTTCTGCTGGGAGGGTGGGTGGGCAGATGAGATGGGACACTGGCAGGGCTGTGAGAGTGACTTTCAGCAGAGACTGCACTGAGGTCTCTGGGGACTTGGTGGCTCAATACCACCCTCTGACTGGTCACTAGTCTCCCCGGCTTGTTCTTGGCTGTTTGCCCATCTTTTCTATCTCCCCCTCTCCTTTGCTGCCTGTCTTTTCTCAGGCCTGCCCAAACTTACCTCTTCCTCCCTCAAGATTTCACTTAGAGAGGGCACCCAGGGCATCCAAAACCCTGTCCTGGATCTGTAGATCCAGGCCTAAGCTGGTGTCCAGGGCAGCCACCAAAAGTCTCAAGAGAGTCAGGGCCAGCCCCCAGAATGGACGCTGCTCTGACCAGAGATAAGGGGGGCAACACAGAGGCTGTGAGAGTAGCAACCACAGACAGAAACCTGACTCCCTCCCAAGGAACCCAGAGACCTACCAGGCTGGAGCTCCCCTCTGGTTCTCTTCCCTCCTGAGGCCCTTGCTGGGTCTGTGGCCCAGCTGTACCCGGCATGGCTCATGGCCAGTTCATGGCTGCCCCTTCTGCCCCCTCCAGAGCATGGGAACGGGCCAGGAGCCAGAAGGCTGTGGTCCCATCTTCCCTCCTCACCCATCATGAGCTTTGCCAGTAGGGCCTATGGATGGATGGTCAGGGAGGGAAGCTCCACACAGGGTCCAAAGTCAAACAGTTGGAGGGAGTCCAGGGGATTTCTGCTGTGGGAACAAAGCGTTCTGAAGATGCCGAGCAGGGGGATGAGAGGGGGGTGGGGTGGGGAGAGAGCGGGGCCCAGCCTCCCATGGAAGATAAGGGCAGGCCAGTCCCTTGGCCCAATGGTGGGGAGGCTGGGGTGCTTAGGGGTCAGCAAGCCAAATGGCAGAGTGGGAGTTTCCTTGTCCCAGAACTGTCTCTAGACTTTTCCTTGCTGACCCAGGTGGTTCCTCTTCAATTCCCTCTGCCCTGCTGTCCTGAATGTCATGCATGATGACCCATCTGATGAATGGTGTGGAGGTGGGAATGAAAAGTTCCTGTCCTTTGCTAGAGTTAGCCGGAGTCACCCTTGCTCGGAGCAAGGCCAGTGAGCCGGGCCTGAGAAGGGCGCTAATGACATTCAGGAGCCCCCTGCCTTCCCTGTCAGACCCTCTGCTCAAGCCCATCCCTCTCCGTTCCTGCTCAGACTCCACCAGGCCCTGTTACCTCCCCAGTAGTCCCTGGTTCCCCAAGAGGGGTGGGAGGTGAGGCCAGTCTGGCCAGTGGCTTGGCCTGCTGCCAGAGAAAGCGGCCTGGTCCTTGGTAGTGTCTGAGGTGACCGGGTGGCGAGGAGAAGGCCGGAGAAGGGCCGGCAGCACCACCACCAGCCCACAGGAACGCTGGGTTCTCCCACCCCTGTCCTCCGTGACCCCTCCCTCCCTGCATTCCCCCTCGCCTGACCAGTCTTTCTCTCTCTCCCCTACAGCCGGGCGCACAGAACAGACCGTGGGAGGAGACACTGTGGGGACACCCACCACCCCTGCCCAGCCACTCTCCTGGGAGCTTGGCCTGCCCACCAGCAGAGCTCCTGCCTGCCAGGACTAGATCAGGCTGGGGTCCCTCCACCCTCGACCCTCAGACTCTGGACTAAGAGAGGGCTGGAGGATGCCCTCTGCGCTGCTGATATTTATCGTGAGCCCTGGAGGCTCACATCCGCTTGAGGGGCTGCGTCCTTCTCCCATGCTCTCCGAGTCAGCACCTGGGTTAGACCCAGAGGCCCACGGGATATGCGAGAGCAGGGTGGGCACTGAGGAACGAAAGAGCCCTGTGCCCAGAGGACCTGCCTGGTGCCACAGGATCCTAACACCAACGAGCAGGGACTTGTCTCCAGAGAGAGAAGCATGAGATTCGCTGGGCGGGACGGCGTTGGCTGCATTTCCCGTAAAGGTGTGCAACCCAAAAGACGGCAAGAGGAGGCCTCTGGGCCTGCTGGTCGGCACTGACTGCCCAGAGGGATCTACACCCTGATCGCCGAAGTGCCCCTGCTGGTTGCCTGGTGGAGAGGGGAGGCCAGACCTGCTCTCAGGACCTGCCTGGCTTGACTGGTCATGCCAAGAGGAAGACCAAACTCTGGCCTCTGCCCCACCTTCCCTCCAGCCCGCCAAAGCTTCTCTGGAGGCCGCGCAGAGGCTGCCCACATGAAGGAAGCCATTGCACTGTGAATACTGAACCTGCCTGCTGAACAGCCTGCCCGTTCACGTGGGAGCCAACATCTGTCCTCCCGCCTCAGCCTCTCCCCAGCTTCCTGCACTGGGTGCCCGAGCCTGCCTTACCTGTTGACTGTCAACTGAGGGAGCCCCTAAGCCCTGACCTTCTGCTGACCTGGCCTGATTTCTGGGGGGGGGACTGGCCGGGCTGCCAGCCAGAGCTGGTCTTTAGGCTGTGTTGTTCGCCCAGGTTTCTGTATCTTGCACTTTGACATTCCCAAGAAGAGGGAGGGCAGAGACACAAGGACACAGGCTGCAGAGTGAGTTCTGACTGAAAGAGGATCTTGGAAATTCGGGCATGCTCCTGAGGATGGGAAGGGGGTCTGCACCCCTGACCCACCAGCCCAGTCTCCTTCCCATGTCCCGACCATAGCTGCAAGGCTGCCGCCAACAGGCACCCAAGTCGTCCTGGTTAGGAGCCTTGAGGCTGGGTGCACCCCAGCCTGACCTGCACAGTTCCAGCTCCACCTTTTCAGCCTTCTCTTTCCCCAGCCCCATGGGCATTGATGCTTCCAGTTCTTACCCCACCCACATTACCACCCTGTCTCTGACCAGACATTCCAGGGTTGGGGAGGGACCAGAAGCATCCAAGCACCTGCTTCCAAGCCCGCCTTGAGGGCCTCCACTGCTGGGTCAACCCCTGGCCGTGCTCAGAGCTGGCAGCAGCGACGAGGCTATTGCCCTTGGTCCCTCTGTGCTGCCGTGCCCCTCCTCTCCTGCTGTGCGGGGCACTCCTGGCCATGACCTTCCCTTCCTGCCATGGAAAGGGAGGGTCTGAGGGCCCTGCCTCCCTGCCCTGCTAATGACAGTTGCAGGAAGGGGAGCAGAGAGCTTTCCCCAAGGGGCTCACGGATTCTACATTGGATGCTAGAAAATATGTATTTAAAAATGGGAGAAAAAAAAAAAAAACAACACAGAACAAGGCATTACTCCCTCCCCACTCACCCCTTAAATTTATAGTATTTCAGAAGTCAAGAAGGGAATCTACCCGCTGCAGAAGCTCTTTGGTGACACAGGAGCCAGAGGGCCCCCCTGCTACCTGCACAGGAACCCCAAGAAGGGATGTTGGCTCACACACTGTGAGATTTTGTTTTTATACTTGGAAGTGATGAATTATTTTATATAAATTCATTTAAATATCTATTTAAAAAATAGGAAGCTGCTTATATATTTAATAATAAAAGAAGTGCACAAGCTGCTATGTGTGAGTCATGGGAAAATTTACTTTGGAGGTGTGGGTGGCAAAAAACGGGGGTGGGTGGGCAGCCACTTCTGGGTGAGCCCCAATTCGAAAAACTTTTTCCAAGATACATGGGGAAGCAGGTTTCTCTCCAAGTTTCAGTCTTGTTGCCATAGCCTCCTGCATTATTGCTGGCCCAAACATGTTCAACTGCATATCTGGTTAATAGGAAAATGGACAGAAAGCAGCCAAACCTCAGGCCTGCACTGCCCAGCCTGGGAGAACGCCTGGTTGGGCTCTGTCCAAGGACGACCCCTACCCGCTGACCCCTGCTGTCCAGGCCAGAGGGAGCGGCCAGGTCCCCCAGGGCTCTGAGGTGAATGAGTGCTGTCTCCAGGCTGGACAGCAAGCGGTGCTCACAGGGAGAGAGCCGGCAGGAGGTATGAGGCACCTTATTCCTGATCTTTCCCTGGGGGTGGAGAAGAGACGGAGGGTTTGGCCTTCCAGGGATGAAGAGGTGCTGGGAAGGGCCTGAGCGATTGAAGGCTCAGCCTCGCCCAAACACACACTCCGGAATTAGCTGTGATAAAAGGGGTCTCCACACCCCCGAGCCAAGTTTTGGATCAGAGTTTCTCAACCCTGGCTCACCAGAGAATTACTTGGGTTGTTTCCAAAAATAGCAAGTCCTGCCCTCAGTCAACAAAATCACCACGTCAGGGGTAAGGCTCAGGCACCAGGCGTCAGAAAATTTTATAGATGCTTCAAGTGATTGCATTGTAATCCAGGGCAAAGAGCATATTGAACGGATCTATCTGATCTGATGGCTACTTAAGTTTAAAGTAATGAAAATGAAATGAAAACAAGCATTAAGTTACTCAGCTGCACTAGTCATGTCCTGTGCCTGCCGTATTGGGTAACACAGAAATAGATCATTTATATCATCGCAAAAATCTTATCACACTCTGCTGCCTAAAAAGTTGGACTTGGGGACCAAGGTTATAGGACCAGGAGGGGCACCGCTCAAGCCTGGCTGGGAACTAAGTGCCCAGGTCTCTAAGTCTTCCCTCTCTGTTCCTTTAGTCCCCACAAGCCCACTGTTCTTTGTCATTTCCCTTAGCTAATTCTTCTCTTTCAGTCAAAAGTTTCTCAGAAAAGTTTATTACAGGGCCTCCCTAGTGGCACAAGGGGTTAAGGCTCAGCACTACAAAGCTATTGGCAGCCACTGCAGCACGAGTTCGATCCCCGGCCAGGGTGCTACCCACATGGTGCAGCAGACCCCTCCTGGCTCGCCTGCTGCTCCCCTCAGCAGTGTATTTCAGTCAATCCACCTGTGCTGCTTCCCACTCTGTCTCTGGTGAGTCCTCTCACCTGCCTCCACCTCTGGTCTACACCTCAGCTCTTGTATGTATAAATAAAATAAACCTTTTTTAAAAAAGTTTATTTCAGAAACTTATTCATATTTTATCATTCAAGGCCCAACTTAAAAGTTACCTCTTCCAGGAAGGCTTCCCAGCCTGATGCAGGTCTCTGAGGCCCACCCAAGCTTAGCTCCTTCCTCCCTGTTGCTCTCACAAACTGAGAGCCTGTTTGTCTGTCTGTCCCATCAGGTTGTGAGTTGTGGCATAACTGTGCTACACCCCTCCTTGCATCCCAGTGCATAAGAATATCTTCACACAGTCAGTACTCAATAAATGTGTGCCAAAATGTTAATATTCATGCATGAAGAAAGGTATAATCATGCAAATTCTGAACAGATTTAATAAGTGGCCTTTTCTATGAGACTTACTGGTATGAGCCAGTGGAATGTATATCTAATAACTATAATTCATTAGGCATGCAAAGGAGAACTTTACATCAAAAGACTCTCCTGGCGGAGATGGGACTAGGTTAGAGCGTGGGACAAGGTTAGAGCGTACGTGATCACTGGGCTGTGGACTGAATGTTTATTTCAAGACCTCTATTCAAGGATTGGTAACAAATAAACAAAATCCTGCCTTCTGCGGCCTTTCTGGAACCCGCAGGGCATCTCCAGAAAGACCAGAGAATCACAGCTGGCCTCTCCAAGGCTTTAGGTGCTAAGTGGTGTGTTTACTGGACAATATTTAGAGCCACTGGACTTAGTCATGGGCTTGAATCTCTTACTGCCCGAGCCATGAGAACTTGGGTGAGAGTTTAGCCTCTCTGAACCTCAGGCTTCTCCTCGTTTGTGGAACTGGTATAAGACTACAAGCCAGGTGTACCTGATCTGATATTTAAATAAGGGGATGAGACCAAAAGCACCTGTGGATTCCAATGGGCTGGCCTCAAATAAAGTATGTTCCGGTGCTGCACCAGCCAGCTGGCCCCAGCGGTATCCAGGTCAAACATAGCTGCCCGCTGGGCACCCAGGATGCTGTCAGGGTGTTCCTGTTCTCAGCAGGAACTGGCAAAGCAGGCACTTCCTGCTGGAAGAGGAATCTGATAACTTGAGGCTCAAGAATTTCTGGCTGCAGGTAGGAAACCGGAAGCAAAAGTGCTCTGGGATGCTGCGGGTGCCCCTCAGTGGACAGGGTCAGGAACTCTGGCTTTAAATATGCAAGCAGAAGGCCCAGCCAAACCCCAAACCATTATCCGGCCAGAGGCAGGAAAGTGAATCAGAAACAACCAGCAAGAAGTCTGAGGTTAACCTCGTGCAGACTGTGGGCCATGGAAAGGAAGGGGCTGGTGGGGGCCTAGGGTCCAGGCAGGGTCTGAGTGGGTGTCTGGAGACCCTTTGGGCAAGATACTGCAGTCTTAGGGGATGGACAAACAGCCAAGGCCCAGGTCAGCTGCTAGGCAGCTCTGGGGAAAGAGCCCACATTTCCAGGGGAGTACCCTTCCCTCCCCTCAGGAAAGGCCCCTTCTGCCAAAGCAGCACTTTGCCCCCTGGCTTCCCTCTGCAGTTTCTGGGAAGAGGGGAAGACCAGGCTCTGCAGCCCGAGCTCCAGGACTGCTGAGGGAGCAAGGTGGACCACGCCAGCCTGGAAAGTCCCAGAGCAAGTGAGTGAGCCACCGAGAGGCTTGCTCCCAAGGTCCTGAAGGGGCTGTGGCAGCCTTGGCCTGTCCCCACAGGAAAGCCCACTGAATGAGCCCAGGGCCCTATCTAGAGACCACACAGCTGCAGCTCCTGGACGGGGTGCTGTGGGCAGAAGAGTTACGGGGTGGGGCGTGGAGGGTGGAAGAGGCTGGGTGAGGGGAGTTGCTGGGAGAAGTCCTGGAGGAGGCTGGTGAAAACCCCAAGCTGGCCCCTGGGCCCCATCCCTGCTCTGAAGTCCTGGGTACCCACCCCACTCACTCTTCTCGTAGATGCCTTCGTGTGTGTAGATCTAGTGAGGTCTGTAAAGGCCAGAGCCTCAGCGTCATTCATTTACTCATTCATTGCTCCCTTTATTTCTAGCACAAAATGGTGAACAGAAGAGTCAATGGGGAGACAGGAATTCATCAAACAATTGCATTAGAATAAGTGTCTACCATACAATGAGAACAGAAGCAGGAAGATACAGGGACTGTGAGAGCTCACACAAGGGGGTCTGCCTGGATGCAGAGCCTAGAGGGTCTTCAGGAGGGTTAAGGCAGAGGAAGCCATAGTTTCAAGCAGTGCACGTGGTCTAGTCCTCTTCCGATCCAGCGCTGCCAATAAGACTGAATAGCTTTCATTGACTAGTGATGGAGTAATGTGTGAGGCATTCTGTAAAAATGCAATGTCATTCTGTTCTACAATAGCTCTGTGAATGAGGTGCTAATATCATTTTGGAAATACAGAAAAAAGAAATAGGAAAAAAAAACCAGAAAAGAAAAACAAGTCCCATTTCTAGCACATTCTAGTGTAGGAATTATAGGACAAAATATTTGAAATTTGAAATCTGAACTGTCCCAGGAAATGTAAAGGTTACCCTTGGGGGAAGAGGTATAGCACACCCTATACTATACCCTATACTATACCCCATACCCTATACTAATGAAGATTAGAATCTTCTCCCCTGCTGGACTGTAAACTCCTTGACAAGAACTCTGCTGCTTCACTTCAGCTCCCATCATACTGCATACAAGACCTCACTCTGAAGAGAGACTCAGTAAGGGAAGGAGGTTGGAGGGAGACAGAGAGAGAGACACAGAAACGCAGAGAGAGAAGGTACTAGTTGATTAAAGACCAGGGAAGAAAGTATTGGGAAGCAGGGATTTAAAATGAAGTCTCATGAAGATTAGAATCTTCCTTAAAAACCATAATCCTTTGATTTAATAGTTGAAATGCTGAGGTAGAAGAACCTCATCTGACATGGACTCTCAACAGACTTGAACTTCATTGCTGCCCACACAGTCATTCAGTTTACTTCTGTGGAGGGGAAAGGAACCACACAGAAAGAGAAGACCAGTACAGCTTCTAGAACGATTATTTCCCTCTTTATTTTTAAAGTCCCTGAGCTGGGACTTTTGTTCCAATGCAAACATTCTCTACCAATTTTTCAGCACAATGTAATCTGATATGGGACTATCAGCAGAGATCCAAATAGAACATACTTTAACCAGTATTTGACTTTTGGCTCACAGTGACAGATCATCTCTTCTAGAAACTATTCCCATCATCCTTCACATGGTTTGACAATGAGCAAAATTCTCATTAAAAATTTTTTGACTTGAAAAGTATTTTTTTTTAAGTACAAAAAGGGCTAATCAAGACCAGCCTCTAACTCTGTGCCTGTGGTTGAGATAGCACTGTTGGAAAGATGAACCCTGATGGAGTCATACATCTGGCTGCAACTCTGCACCCCTTAAGGGGGAGCTGGGAGTCTCCCCAAGGTGAAGGTGGTGGAAGTAGGGAAGTCAAGGGAAATCTGTAGTTAAGAGGGGTTTTTATAGACAGACGGGGATGTAGCCCTATAACATGATTTATAGGCCACAAAAATTTTTCTATATATTTTACCACTTGATCCTCCTGTCCAGTGAAGATGCTCTTTTTATGATTTACACAGAAAGAATTGAATCCAAAGAGGTAA